GACTTACCAGAAAAAGGCGTACATGACCAAGGCGTTCCCGGTAACCCCCACTGTTCCAATCACCAGAACGAAGAAGGCAACGATGTAGTGCACGTGATCATGGACATCCACCTGCCGATAGAATCCGTGTTCCACGTCCATTTCTGTGACTACAACCACATGGACGTCAGCATCCAGGATCAATCTTTGTGGGAGGTAACAACATTGGTACAATAATAGATCCTCTCATGACCAACGATCTAAATATCTGGGGGCACATGTTAACACTGAGCATTTATTCCCATCCCTTTATATCAACATTGTATTTAGTTGAGTAACTTTGCTCGAGGTCATGTGAATCTGTTTCTCTGAATAGCTGATGCTTTAGAAACATTTCAGTTTATCATTTTAAATACATCCATTGTTTCCCCCTGAAGAAAATCTAAGGAAATCCCCACAGTTCCTCTCATCGGATGTTGTGAAACCCAACTGCAAGTTTTATTGTGTTTTCAGGGAGGCGGTTCAGTAGTTTTATTCTTGGGAGCCTTTAAACCAGGGGTTCTCAACTGGTGGGTCGCGACCCACTTTTGGGTCGTGGACCTGTTCTGGGTGGGTCGCGGACAGCTGGTCAAAATTAAATAATATATAATGTGTGTCTGCGGTTGGACTTATTTTTTATTTGGAAAAAACTTTTATTTTGACAACTAAGTAACCATAGTTTGTTTGACGTTCATTTTAAGTTTGTGTTGATGTTGGGATGCAAGATGGCGAAGCGCAAATGTGGATTTTGATACTAGGGCTGGACCCGAATAGCCAACTACTAGTTTGCTGTGCTGGAATCAGGATATCAATTTTGATCTCCGAATAGTCCCCCGCTGCCACCACCGCCTCCGCATCCACCACCGATACAGCAGTGTGACTGCTGGTTGGACCGAAAGCTCAGCACCTGCACCCCCTGTCTGAATAATAAGCCCCCCCTCCTTATGTTGTTTCGTGCCTTTATTTATTTTGTGCAGTTTTGTACATGCAGTTGTCATGGTCCAGTTACTATGCATGGTTATATGCTCTGAAATGGATGTTGCACAGGAAAATATAGTGAATATTGAATTCTAAAAAAAATTGGGTCGCGACTAAATGACCATAGGAAAATGCGGGTCCCAGGGTGAGACCAGTTGAGAACCCCTGCTATAAACTGCAGCCTACACTTGAGCATGTTTTAATCTTAAAAGCAGCACGGCCCTACGGATGGCATTATCAGTTTGTTGGTTAGTAAGCATAGGACATGAGGTCTTGTCCAGGCTTAGGTAAAGGGAAATAATTTTTTGTAGACAGTAATAGTCAATAGGTTTGCTGGTTTTGGGGATCCCTGGCATTTCCTCTGCGCCACTATGAGATCCAGATTGGTCATTTTGAGTAAAACATCTCCATAACTATTAGAGAATTGCAATTTATTTCTCATTTACATCCATGTTCAAGTCCAGCCAAAATGACAGTAGTCTGAATTTTAGTGATAACGTTGGCATGCAGACACACCAAGCTCAGCTGGTTAACATGTTAAACAGTGTAACTGCTAAATATCAGTGCATGTTAGTATTGATTTTGTGAGGCTAGCATTTGGCTCAAAGCTCCACTGTGCCTTAGTAAAGCCTCAGGGGCAGGAGACTCGTGTGTACACCAGAGGCCAGCTCTATAAGCGATCCTTGTGCTGTAAGAACGGCTGGCATGCAGCCTATATGTACAGAAGTTTCTTGAATCCAACAGTGATAAATAGGATGGAGATGAAAAAATAGGACAGTAAATACTTCGATCCTACCTCGCATTTTATTTGTTCAAATTGTTGGACAATCTGACCACTGATCTTGGTATACTTGTTTTTTCTTTGTCACCTACAATATACTTTCTGTTTAAGCTTTTCTGCTCAGTCTTTAGCCTTCTATCTGTGCCTCCAATGACTGGAGACATCATGCTCTCAGCAGACGACTTCCTTTACGCAGTATTAGATTTTAATTGATATGTTCTTGTTCTTCTTGTTCTCATGCCTGCCACATGGAAAGAAAACTAATCCTGGTTCCAAGAACTTTAAGCTTTCTCCCTGGAGTACTTTTTTGGCCTGAAGTGCTTCCCAAAAGTCTTCCAGTCCACCTTATACGCTGATGCAACATGACAGATTAAGAGTGCGTGTACATTTTTCTGCAGTTTTTGACATTACATGTGTGATTGCTTATAGAATGAGAAGGATTATGACAGTCAGAGCATGTTAATACCAATTATTAACGCTTGCAGACTGGCTAAGTATTAATCATGATAAGAGTTGAAGAGCAGTGAAGCTGCTGTTCTGGTTAGAGAGGAGATCCTCACTCAGTGTTACTGAATTAATTTGCTTTGGCACACTTCGTTCCTTAGAAGAGCCAGCCAGTGCAACGGAAGATTTTTAACACATTTTTATTAAACAAAACAATAAGGCAATATGAAAAATGAATGTGACAGGAAAAGATGCTTAGAAGTGTAACAGCAGGTTTTTGATCTGTCACAAATTCCCAATGACTGCTTCACCGTAGATCAGTAATATTTATCACATAGGTGATCAAGTCAAGGAGTTTTTGTTGATGCAAATGACTGCGTGGACTTTGCGGGTCCATTGCTCAGCTATGGCAGTGATTATAAGAGGATTTATATGTTTTGTTAATGTGATGGAATCAGAAGCACGCATGCAATATTAACTGCATTTATCCTACGTAAACCCACTTCCTGTCGCCCTCTCTTCAGCGTTACAAAAAAGGAGCGAGGTGCCAGTGCGGCACAATACGCTCGGCTGCATCAATTTCAGAAGGTGCACATAAAGCACGTCATCCGTTGCATTAATAATTTGCTTGTTTGAGAACAAGAACATGTAATGAATCACGCCCGCTCTTGAATCACAGCCCCCTGATCCAAAATGATGTGGAGTGTTGGCGCTCTTTTTGTGGTTAATATACCAAGACAGTGGTCAGTCTGACTCATCGTTCATATACAAATCTGTTGTGTCTTTGCGTTGTTTTTGCAAGAAAGCGGCTTTAATATATACAGCACCTATTAAAAATACTAGCAGCAGTGCTATAATTACTACTCTAAACTATTTAAATTATTTTAAAGTGTGTAGAATAATAGAGCTGCATTTTCTCTTAGAGTGTAAAAAAATATTACATCTATATTGCAGCACAGTTGGTGTAGTACACGATATGCAGCGTGTCAAGTCCACCAGCGAGCTCTTGCTGTGCTCAGTGAAGCCTTGTGCGTCACAGGAACTCTCAATCACCTCTTACTTCCCCACATTAGGCCTCGGAGCATTGTTTCATATGAAAGGCTGAAGTCACATAGATAAATAGATACCTGATTGATGGGACTGTGTTCACACTGAAGGTGAAATGGACCCTTTGACCTCTTTTAGGGACGTTTTCTAAACTAGACGCGTGCATTTAATGCGTTCATGTTCATTCAGAAATTGCTAATACGAAGGTCCTGCTCATGGAAAGCAAACGGACCGATGACAGTGAGTCACCTGTCAGAGCAGAGAGCTTCACCTGTCTGATACGTTTACTATTTCAGAAGATTGTTAAAGATTTATAAAAGCCTGTTATGGGATCACAGATAACAGATTGTTATTCTCCTGGCAAATTTATGATGAGCTTTACACGGAGCATAGTTTGAATTACAATTTTTTTTTATAAGAAAAAGAAAAAAAGTCAGATTTTAATTGAGGTGATCCCCTAAAGTTGCTAATCGTTGGAAAATAAGATGCTGTATTGGTGAGGAAACGGTGACGCATCAAGCCGCCTTCTGACCTGCAGTGCCTGTAGAATGCCCAGCTTTAGGCAAAATAAACTATTGATCTATTAATAATCATTTACAGGAGTGCATAGTTGTCTGATCAAGGTAGGACCTGTTGATTAATCAATGATTGATCAGAATAAAGGGGCTTAAAATGTGACCGAAAAACTACGATATACATACATGAAACTGGTATGATTTAAAAGCTGAAATAATTTTATGTATATAACATTATGTATGTTTTGTGAAAGAGCTTTTTAAAGCATCCCAAAAAGTTTTTTTTTAAATAAACACACAATTCAAAACTGTCTTAGAAAGCTTGCTCCACTCTATTGATTTACTTTAAAACATACTATTTACATCGTTCACATTCTTGCATGCAATTGCAAAAAATACAGAAAGAGGCTCTCCTTAAGTCAACATAAGCTCTAGTTTATAAAAAGTAATGATATGAACAAGGTGTTACTTTACCTTATCCAGAAAGTCGAGCACCTTTCCCTCTTCAGGACAACTCTTTGTTGCTGAGCGGTAGGAGAGGATCAGAGACACTGAGGCTGTACACCATGTAATAGTGAAAAATCCACTGGGTTTAAACGGATAAGGATGATGACTGCTTCTCTAATCTCTAAGTTAGATGGATATTCTCTACACGCTGCAGCAACACTGGACTGCCGCTGCTATCAGTGCTTGAGAGAAAACGAGAAAACACAGAAAGACAGAAGGCAAGCAGCAGCAGCACACTGACCCATCCCCCTGCTAGCTACCCATCACACACAGCTCTCTCATGGCACAATGCATCGATCAAGCCGGTGTGTGCTGCGTGCATGAGGACGTGTGCCTGTTGCTGTCTGTGTGGGGAGGTGGTAACAGGCTGCTCTGGTCGTAACAGGAACAACTCTTGTGCGCTCGAGTGTACTTCATTAGAAAAAAAGAGTTTTGTAATACCAACCATTGCATGTTGCAGCTTCTCCAAACGAATCGAGGCAAATTCTGCAAAGTAGTCTCCTTAAACATTGATTTCTGTAATACCCCGTTTCCAGTGGCACAACTCCACGCAAGCACCAGATGCAAAGCTGTTTAACTGTGAAGTGAGAAAGCGACACAGCCCGGTTGCCGCCGCGTCCCACTGGGTGCTCTGAGAATTGCGGAGAGAAGTCTTGTGGTTTTGAAAAGCACCGAACCTTTTACAAAGTATCATACTTGTTCGCTGCTCATCCTTGTGTAAGGAGAATCCCGAGAAAAGCACTCAGATAAAAGCCTCCCAATGTTTATCATCTCATGCACAACTGAGCAGGCAGCTGCAGCACCTCCTTTTGCTCTTAATATTTCCCGTTTCTACACTGATTCTTGTCTGT